CATTAAACCTTGTGTAGGTTTTGTTTGAGAAGTGGAGTATTGTAATTGACTGACTGTAGAATCCGTGGGTGGTGAACAAAGGTCGAATTGAAGCTTGAGGTAAGCCTTCGGACCTTGGGTGTAATTCCCTTGATTATTCCACCAAGCCCTGAAAGGGTAGTGGTGATTATAATGTATATAAATGCAATGAAATAGTGTAATGTTTTGTTATACGTATGCGTATGCATTTGGTGTGGCATAGGATGGTGTTTTCCTATGTGGTATGTTGCATGACGATGCGTAAATCATACTTTGTAGTTAGCTGGCCAGTAGAACTATTTGCATCTGAGTTTCCTTAGGACAGCTTGAGAGCTCGAGGGATTTCTCCTGGAGATGTTATTGCACTTTGCATAGATATGTATTTACTGCATTATTATTGTTATTGCTATTACACTGATATGGAACTGTGGGGTGGAGAGATGCTCCAAGGACCCCTGGCTTACTGGATATATTCGTATATCTCACCCCGTGTTGTGGGGACCCCCTTTCAGGTAAGGATGCTGCAAGAGCCACCAGTGGCAAGTGGCCATACTTGGACTAGTAGTGATGCATGAGGATCCTGTATTTTGATATTATACATGTTGTTTGGTAGCTCACATGTATAGGATTGTAATTAATAGATAATTGATAGATGTATGTTCTGTTTATTTGGAATGGACTTAGCCTATGCTCATGCCTTTGGTTATCTCTTTGTTGATGGGAGCCAAGGGAATGATCATAGTGTTTTGTAAGCTAAGTTCCATGATTTGTAATGAATATGTACTGTAAATGATGCCTACTACAAATTCAATATATGCATGCTTTTTATGTATTGAGTTATTGAATTGGTTGGGCTGAGAATCAATTAGGTACCTTTTGTTTAAATTGGGAAACGTTGAGAAAACAAAGGTTATGCTGCCCAAATTCTAGTTAAATCTCATGAGGAGAGGTTGGATAAGTGCTAGGATTAAGTTTTGAGGCATGGACAATTGGGGTTTGGAATGGGGATGTATCTTCCCCTAGACTTGGACTTGAAAAATGAGAGATTGTGAAATTTCCTGGAAGCGCGTTAAAGCGCCCTGGAGCGCGCTTTAGCGCCCTGCTGCCCCTGTGAGAGCCAATGCTCTCTGTCTCCCCGCGCTGGAGCGCCCAAAGTGGCGGCTTAAGCGCCCAGGATTTCGTGCTTGAGCGCCCTGGTTGCGCTTAAGCGCCCTTCGCTGCGGAAAGATGGGAGGCTTACTGTCTCCGCGGGTTTTAGCGCCTAGAGTGGGGCTTAAGCGCCCAGGGTTGCGCGCTTGAGCGCCCTGGTTCGCGCTTGAACGCCCTGGTTCGCGCTTGAACGCCCTTAGCCACTGAAGGAGGAGATGCTTCTGTCTCTGCGCGCTAAAACGTTCCAATGGGAGCTTAAGCGCCCAGGATATAGTGCTTGAGCGTCCTGGTGCGCGCTTAAGCGCCCATTTACACAGAAAAACCTGATGCTCTCTGCCTCCATGCGCTTAAGCGCCCAGATGGAGGCTTTAGCGCCCGATAACGCGCGCTTGAGCGCCCTGTAGCGCGCTGAAGCGTGCGGGGCCTGTGTCCAACATACACTTTTGTTGCTCTAATTTGTCATAACGTGAGCTACAGTGCTCCAAATGAGAAGCGGTTCGAAGCCACGCGTAGCTAATGATTGGAAGAAGACAATTAATAACCTTGGTCTAAGGATATAAGAGTATGATGTTAAGCTTAATTCATTTTATTCCGCAATGTAATATAGTTATGATCACGCAATTGGGCATCATAAATTCGGCATGTTTTAAAATGAAAAATTTATCCGGATTTTAATTGAACCCATGTGATTGTAACTGCGCTTAATATCATAATGCGACGTTAACAAACCGGTTCTAGAACGGGGTGTTACACATTACATCCTCCCCCACTAGAAATACAGCGTCCCCGCTGTACACACCGGTCCAGGGCGAGGCTCTGATACCAAATGTAACCGCCCCAAACCCTGTAGCAGGATATTGTCCGCTTTGCCCCGCGCACAAGCACCGTGGGACAATACATCAGCGCCTGTCCCTTGGTGAAAAAGAATTGAAGACGGTCTGGCATGGACAATTTAAGGGAAACCTCTTACACAAACTGAAAGTTCTTGCTGTAGTGTACTTTCATATTGAGTCAGATGTATTTCCATACGGATTTCTACAACATGTGCCCAATATGGAGATTTCTACACACCTTGTGGTGAGTTGTAGTTCCTTGAAGGAGATTTTCTGCTTTCAAAAACCTAATGTGGACTTCACTGGATTCCTCTCACAGCTGAAAGTATTAAAGTTGAAGTTACTTTCGGAGCTCATTTCCATAGGGTTGGAGCATTCTTGGATTGAACCCTTTATCAGAAATCTAGAAACCTTGAAAGTAACTAGATGTTCTCCTTTAAAAAACTTAGCACCATCCGGCGTGTGTTTCTCCAATCTGATGTTTTTGTATGTATTTGAATGTGATGGGTTGGTAAATTTGTTCACATCCTCAACAGCCAAAAGTTTGGCTCGACTCCAGCTCATGTCCATAAGGAGATGTCAATCAATACAAGAAATAGTGTCAAAGGAGGGGAATGAATCCCATGATGATAAGATAATATTTGGGGAGCTCCAAACTTTGAATCTTGAAGATTTACCTTGAGCCCTTAGATACAAGTGGGATTAACGGACAAGATTAAAAGTGTAACTTACACTGGTTTAAAATGATCCTGACACTTGTTTTTATACTTTGTCTTTGCTAAGTCCGACTACAATAATGCAGTAAGAGGAAAGGAAGTGGAGATCGATGGCAAAGACAGCGATGAAAAGTACAACTTTTTTTGGGTTTAATCCAATATTACTATGCTTACTTTTATGTTAATGAAGAAAAGAAAAGAAAAAGAATCACGTGTGTATGGTTTTAATTTACACAGTTGATGAAGAAGAAAATACAATGTTCTATACACTAATGTAATAATGTGTATGATTAATATTAGCTATAAAACTAACATCAGATGTTTTTGTAATTTGTCCAGGCTGAGTTGAACTCCAATAATGCAGTGAGAGAACTGGAAGAGGATATTGATGGCAAAGACAGTTGATGAAGAGGAACAAAGTTGTCCAGTACGACTACTACTATTATTACTTTTGGGTTTGATCTAGCATTACTATGATTGTTTGTGTTCAAAAAAAAGAAAAAAAGAAAAGAAAAGAAAAGAAAAGAAAAAAGAAAAAAAAAGATAAGAAGAAGAATTATGCTTGTATGGTTTTAAGTTACAGAGTTGATGAAGAAGAAATACATTGTTATGCATAATAATGTAATAATATGTGTGGTTATAAGTTACAGATGGTCATGAAGAACAAAGATGAACTATATCAGTAAGTACGTTGTTCTATATACTAGTGTAATAATATGTAGGATTATAAATTATAAAACTAACATCGTTGTTTTTATAAATTGTCTAGGCTGATCCGACTCCAACAAGAGGACAGGATGAGGAGCTGAAGAGGAACAAAGTTGTCCAGTATTCCCATTTTATTTTTTATTTTTTTGGGTTTAATCCAGTATTACTGTGTTTGCTTTTGTGTTAAAAAAAATATATTGTGTGATTCTAAGTTACCGATTTGATGAAGAAATACAGTGTTTTATATATTAATGTAACAGTGTGTGTGATTATAACTTACAAGTTACAGATGGGTATGAAGAAGAAAGATAAACCATTTCAGTAAGTACATTGTATTATGCACTATATATATATATATATATATATATATATATATATATATATATATATATATATATATATTAAAAGAAAATGCGAGTGGTTTATCCAGAGACAAACTCGCAGGATCTTTTTCCACAACTTATATTTGTTCTATTTGTTAACACTTAATTTTGTCCATTTATTTATATCTAGCTTCAATTTAAATCTGGATTCTAATTGGGGTCGTTTGCCCAACTTCCCAAGCTTTCAAATCACAAGTGTAAGTAAACTTTCAGGGGAGGATTCTGGTAGCCTTCTTTTCAATTAAATAACTAATTACTCCAATGATTAGTTAAAGTATTTTTGAATCATAATATTATAACACAAACAAACCAACAAATATAAGAGGAAAATTGTACAGAACAATCCACCAATAATTAAACAAATTTTTTTTTAGTAACAAATATATATATATATATATATATATATATATATATATATATATATGGGGTAAACATTTCTGCAGCCACTTTAGATAAGCTTATCTACAGCTACTCTTTATAACTATGTTCTCCCGGGAGAACATAGTTATAACATTAAAAGTTATTTTTTTTCTCTCTCCTCATTTACTTTTCAGAACCTGTTTGCTGACGTGGAGAGAGAGAAAAGAGCAACTTTAATGTTATAACTATGTTCTCCCGGAAGAATATAGTTATAAATGGGTAGCTGTAGATAAACTTATCTAAAGTGGCTGCAGAAATATTTTTTCCTATATATATATATATAGGGATAGATCCGTTTACAAACTTTTTTTGCAAATTACACTAAGTACGACCGGTCGTACACTGCATGATTAAAGTATGACCGGTCGTACTTAGTGTAGTTTGTAAAAGTTTGTAAACAAAAAAGTTTATAAATATAACATGCCCCATATATATATATATATATATATGGGTCAGGATCATTTTACACCAGTGTAAGTTACACTCTCAATCTTGACCATTGATCTCACTTATATCTAAGAGCTCTAATTTTTTAGTAATGTGAGCCGTTGGATATAAGTGAATCAATGCTCAAGATTGAGTGTAAGACTTCTAACTCTTACACTGGTGTAAGAATATCCTACCCCTATATATATATATATATATATATGTGTGTGTGTGTGTGTGTGTGTGTGTGTGTGTGTGTGTGTGTGTGTGTGTGTGTGTGTGTGTGTGTGTGTGTGTGTGTGTGTGTGTGTGTGTGTGTGTGAGCTTACTTCTTTTTCTTAAGGGTAACAAAAGCCACTTTCCCACACATAATTATTCCGGAAACCATATATTTACAAGAGATTACAACAATGTCATGAATTCCTACCGTACACTTTTATAATCAGTTCTTCATACCAATAATGCCAGGAATATCCAAATTGATCCTTCGTCCAAGTAATTTGTAGTACGAGATCTTCATCAGGTTAAGCCAAGCATCTAAATTCCAAAGTTGTGCAGGTATATATTAAAATGCTGACACTGTCACAAAACCGTTGTAATTTAAAGTTTCACCTGCACAGCTTTCAACCACCTACTCATATAATCTTTTAAGCCAAATCCACGGCTAGGCCTTAGAATTTGCTTGAACAAAGCCATTTTTGGAACATTCCAGTGCTCCACATGCCTGAAAATTATTCATAGATATTTAGATGATTGCTAAAATGATAACACTAAAAGGTAGAAGCATGCACCATCACAATTCAACATTTTTCTCACCTGCATACCCTTCCAGATTGTGCATCAAAATAATATTCTGTGTATCCAGTTGCTGCAGCATATATTAACATGGTCAAATTTCATTAAATAAGCATTGTGCAGCACTAAATGACATGATCAAGTTGCTGCAGTATATAAGATGAATTATGCTGCTTTGTTACTGTTGAATCCGCATTTTGCTGTATGTTTATGAGAACTAGCAGCCAATACTATGAAAAACGAAAGAAAGCAGGAGGTTCCAGTGAAATGCAGATACATTTAGTAATGTGAGTTCTACAAGGAAACAATTTCCTTTTGGCCTCTATGGTTCAACCAGTGGGATATACATGGAAAGGCTTGAAATGTACCCGAAAGAATAGGCCTCCAAGGAAATGACAAGATACAGCTGAATCGCCAGTGGCCAATTCCTTTATCCTGTCAAGGAACCATATGTATAAAAACACTAAGCTTTTTGAAGAAACAGCCAGCAGGTAATCATAAAGATTGAAATTTCAGAATTTTCGAGCTTCTAAAGGCAGATGTGTAGTACGAAGCAAATGTAATCAGCAAAACATGCTCATTGACTATGACTGCCGTTTGCAAAACATAATTGGGAAAGCAATGGGAATGGATCCTCTCATACATTATTTAACATGACTTTGTGAGAGGATCTTAATCATGTATGGACAAATCAACATTAATGAGACATGAGAGAGAAAAAATATCAAAATAAAGAGTGATAAAAAGATAAATGTTGATTTGTTCATAAATAATTAAAATTTTCTTACATGAGTTAGTCATGTTAAATAACACATAGCAGGATTCATTCACAATAGAGTAATTGTCAAAGGTTGTCCTGACCTCAAAATCTTCCCACTTCATAAGCTTCATATTTGACTTCTCCAGAAGGGATCCAAAATTAGTGCAGTTCCTCTTGAAACGCTGAAGCCCTTTAAAGGAGCCTGCTGGATCCGCAAATTCACAATCCTCTTCATAAGCATTTAATGTGAGATCTCCTGAAGGTTGGGAAGAATAGATTAACTATGTGAACCATCTAAATATAAATAAATTATTAACTAGAAAATACCAATTAGTATTAGCTTGATTTTATGTCAGTCATTATATAGGAAGCAATCATTTGGAGGTTACATGTATGAAAGAACATACACTTATCCCTTTTTTGAGTTCAGTGTTACTTTTCCCCCCAGACCCCCACAACTCAAAAAGTTTTGGGTGCAATAATTCCTAAATGCATACATTATAGCAGTGATATTGTCTCTGCCTGTACCAAGACAGTTGATGGCATGTGGGAGCAAGCAACAAATTATATAACTCATCAAACCCTGAAGATGCAGTAGGAACTCACAACTCACAATATATTTCACTTCATCAATCTCAATTGACTTGATTAAAAGAAACCAAGGTTACATAAAGGGTTTAAATATTCTTTACTACACATTCACAACATTGATAAACAACTGCCAAAAAAGTAAATGAAGGATATTTCCCAAACACATGATAGGCTTATAGCATATTTAGCACAGCATTAACCAATACATTTAATTAAACACTTTATTTAGCTTATTTAGCAAAACGGGAGAAATTGGAATTAACCCAGAGAAAAGAAGCAAAAGGGTATGTGCAAACCTGTGACAAAATACGATCTTTGGAAGTCTTGTTTGATAGTGTCGACAATTGCATCACGATCAATGGTTTCCAGAAGCCTCTGAGGAGGAGCTTTCTCATTAGGCGGGGAACGGAAAACAGAGGCAGCAATGCCAAGAAGCTCAGAACTATACCATGCTAGCTTGAGAAATGCATTGTTCTGTGGTTGTTTGGACTCTTCATTTGGGTTTGTTCCATTACATCGAAACCTATGGATTCTAGGGTGGTGTTTCGGTTGAAAGAACAAAGAGCTGTGGTGAGTAGTGGTAATTGAAGCAAAGGAAGCAACAGGTGCCAATGCCATGAAACAAGACAAGGACAAAGAGTGAGTGCAAGTGTGACAGAAACAGTTGCTACCTGCGGTTTGTTTAAATATCTAAGCTTCCAGTTAATGATAGCCATACAAAAACACACAAACAATGCATTTTCTTTTTCTTTCTTTCTTTTTTCTGATTGTGATGCAAATATGCAATCAATTCAAAAATGCTGGCATTTGAAAAATTTTATAATTTGGAATCGATGGACTATTTTAGAGTTTTCTTTTTTTTAAATGTTCATTCATAGTAACATTTTAAGAATAGAATTAAAAAAATTATAAATCATTCAATATCCCATAGAACTTCTGCTGATTAATTCGGATTTGAGCCACACAAAATTATAAGGACGGCAAAGTTTTTCCAATGAAATTTTAACACAATTATATATAGTTAAACTCAAGACCATTGGTTAAATTGGAATAATTTTTCGTCAATTGATCCATTGGTGATAACAATTTTTTAATACTAGAAAAATTGACTTTTTTTTATCTGTATGGAAATTCTTACTACATGTAACTATCTTATAAGTTTTAAAGGACACAAATTTATAACTATTTGTAATATGTTTTAAGAGAAAGATGTGTATTATTTTAAAGGATGTAAAATTGTATCATTTTAAATGAGAGAAAGAGATAGATAAAGGAGGAGAGAATGAACAAAAAAATATAAAAGTATGAATCCCATATTTTTATGAGAGTGAAATAACATAAATTGTGTCATTTAAAAGAACAAACCCTTTTCCCATGTTTTAATATTTATATATATATCAAGTTGTCAATGTACTTAATATCCAACCTAATGTTCCCATTATAATAATTTATACTAATTAATTTAGAAATAATTGAAATTAATTCCACTTTGAAGCCATTTTCTTATACTATAAACTGAAATCCTTGTGCAATAACACAAGTATGCGTACATCCATTAGTTTGTAAGGGATTCAATACGGATTTTGATGAAGATTAAATAACGGTTCATCTTTAGCGGCTCAACAATCTACATACACAACATAATATTGAGTAAAACATAATATTGAACTTTTATTCTATGCCATTTAGTAAATTGTCATACTTTAGAAGCATTTTACAGGTAAATACGTAAACTATATGTCAACACATTGCTAACTCAACATTAACAATATGTTCCTGGCTGTGCCATATGCATGATGCAACACTAAATGCCATCATTCTCCTGCTGCAAAAAATTTAAGCAGTCTACTCTGATTCCTACATATATTATACAAACTCTTTTCCTCTCTATTTGAATCCAGCAAGTTCCACAAACGCAACAACAGCATCATAAAATAATGAATAAATTTTAAGTCCTAACATATCCTCCTCTTCTCCAAAATATCCAGAAAAGAATGCATCTGAGTTGTGTGCTTCACCAATGCTGAAATTGCGGGCAAATGATATAAACCACTGGGGAAAATTCATTAGCTTCACTTTTAATCTCAATGAATATCCCTGTATATTAAATTGATATTCTGCAGTTTCTTAGTTTTCATTGAACCTGTTATTCTCAAGTTGAATCAACATATCATCTCAATAACAGAAGGCAGAACACAAATCTTCTTTGGAAGGAACCCCAAATGTTCCCCATCAGATTGAATATAAACACCCTTCCCTGAAATGTCCTCCACCTCAATAGAAAGCACACTACAAATAAATAAATAAATAAAAATAAAAACTCTGAATGAGTACCATCATAAACCTAAGCAAGCCTAAAAATAAATAGATAAAAGGAAATGAATTTGAATACTAGCTTTCAATGAACAGAAAAAGTTAAATCAAATTATAAATTATCAAGAAAACCAAACCCAATGAAGGTCGCTACAGGTATTTAAACAGTTGTGTTTTTTTACCACCCTAACATCCAAAACAATCAGCTTGTTAACAATGTTCACCAGTTCACAAATCTACTGAATCAGTTACAAATTTACAATGTCAAGCTAACTGCCATAATTAGCCAAACAATACACTCAAACAAAGACAATCTATGTCCAAATTCCTGCATCAACATAAGAATAGGTTATAGAGGATAATGAGTGAAGTGTCCAGACCCACTTATATCATTAGGCTAGTAGTTTAAGAAGACCATGTAATCCAAATTCATTAGTCATCAGAGACCAATCATCAAGAACTAGAAAGTAACAAATGAAAGTGCCATGAAGAATGAAATCATGCATTCTCTGGAAAAGATTATACCTTCTAGATGATACATTTTTTACCATTAGGTGTGTCCCATTGTACAGCTTATGTAATTTCAGGACAAAATCGTACCACTTAAAGTCCTGAAGAATCACAACCTGCACAAATTATATAAAAGTATAAGCTTTTTTTATTGTTGGAAAAAGATGATAATCTTCATCACCGAGATTTTACACAAGGGCATTTTGACCTCTAAATTTCCACTATGAGGGTTAGCATTTGGGGTAATTTTCATGCCACCACCGAAGTATTTTCCATTTCCAACGCAAAGGGCCGTCACTTGAGGACATTTCTCCCACTCACCTTCATTGACCTGCATTTTCAAATATTGTAACACTCGTGTAACCCACACTACTGATGCACTTACATAAAGCATATGAAAGAACTAAAATACACAAGACTACTTTAGACAAACTGCTTAGACCTTTTCATATCATGGGGGAAAATAAGTTACACTGACCTTGATTCTGAGATCCTGATTATGATGACCCATGAAGGCCTGCAATGCACCAATGATATAACATAGGTTACCAAATCTCTTGTACCTAGAAGCATAGAAACCTGCCTTTGCACTCCTGCCAAATTTTGTCAAGCATGCATTTTGATATGATGATCGATGCAATGGAAAGCTTAATCTGAAATTTGGAAGCTATCCTTACAAATGAATGTCAGCAACGTTTATGAAGTAATGATGTTTGCCACTTTCTCCACTGATAACACCAACATCTATGCTTGATCTCAACCCTAAATAACTCCTACATTAGCACGTCTTAAGTGATAAACTAAAGCATACAAGGTAACACAGAATTTTGAGGAAAGCTTTGCCAAGATTGAGTTATAACACACACAGAATATAACAATAAAGAAGAAACAGCCAAATAAAAGAAGGGGGGGAATCAAACCTCTGGCAATGCGTTCAATGGCCTCGTGAGGATCATTCTTCCTGGGAAAAGCCACAGTAGATGTTTCCATTTACTTCTATAATATATATATAGAGAGCAAATATGTTCCATAAGAAGCAGAAGAAGAACAACAGCAAACAAAAACTAACCAACCAAATGTTCTCGCAAAATCAGAACCAGTTCCTAGGGGGATGAGCTGCAAAAAGCCAGAACGTAGTTATATTTTTCACAGTTCCACTCAGGAGACATTTTACAGATGACTGAAGTAACACCAAATGCAATGAGTCAAAACTGAGAATACTGCATTCTGATGAGTGATGACAATTACTCACACCAAGAGCAGTTGAATTCGTAGGCTCTTTAATTTGACTAACAACAGGTTTTCCAGCCCAGAAGAAACCATTAACAACCTGCTTATAATAAACAGTGACGTGTAAGGACTATTCTCTCTTAACAAATCCTAGGAGAACAATCAACAAAGAATGTTGAAATTCTTCAAAAATAATTGTCCTTAAGATTAATTAACCGTTTGCAAATAAACAAAAAGGTTTTATAGAAGTAATGCTAAAGCTTATTAGAGTATATTGTAAGCTTTAGCTTAGCTTTTCTGTATTTTAATCACTGATGTATCTTGACTATTATACTTCTGATTGTATAGAATATTTTCCCTTTCTGTTTCTAGTTAGTTAGTTTGTTAGAGTATCTGATCAGATCAGAGTCAGTCTTATGCTCTATAAATAGAGCCTTCATGTATCACTTTCGTCAGAATATTTTACACATCAATAGAATGGGTTTTTCATCTTCTCTCTCTTTTCTCTTTCTCCTCAAACTCTGACATGGTATCAGAGCTCTCATCTTGAGGACCTGATCCATTTCATCCATCAATGGCTTCCGCAACATCCTCTTCTACAGAAAAGCTAAGCTAAAGCTTACAATATACTCTAATAAAGCTAAGCTTGGTTGAGTTGAACACATTCTCAATAAGATAGAAATTTGTCAATCATTTCCCTCAGGAACTTAACTACGTAGAACTATAAATGGCAAGAAATCTCTTCAATTATATCATCAGTGACAATACTTTAATAAAACAAGTTCAAGAATTTGAAAAGGCGAGGAAATGCAAGCAGTTTGCACCTCATGAAGAGTTCCATCACCTCCAACAGAAATGACAGCATCAGCCCCCTCCCTTATAGCCTGAGAATAAGTGGATAACAACTCATTAACTCAGTGGAACCAATACAGAAAACACAATTTGATTTCAACCCTTTAAACTAACCTCTCTAGTTATGTCAATGGCATGACAAGGACCCGAAGTTAGAGATTCACATATCTGTTTAAAAAATAAAAAATAAATGCAAAAGCTCAGGTCTTAAGAATTTGCAAATAAACAGAAGCAACTGAATTTGCAGATTTCATCATCATCATCATCATCATCATCATAATAATAATATTAATAATAATAACTCATGACACAGTACGAAGAAGACTCACATTGCATTTTTTGTCAAGACGAGACCGTAGATATGGAAGTAGCTTCTTCCACTCTTTACCCGTGCGCCCATTAGCACCTGCAACCCAAAAATTTAAACTTTTCCCCCAAAATTTAAACTTTTCCAACACCCCATCATTCATTTCAGCTCAAAAACAAAGAAAATAGAAAAATTAAAAACAAAAATAGATATTCGTACAGAGAATAAATGAGAGAAAAAAACCTAAAGGATTGACGACGAAAACGAGGTCCCTTTGGCGAGAAGAAGAGGAAGAACCGAGGCCGGGAAAGAGATCCGGTGCCATGGGTTTAAGCTCTGATCTGAAAACGATTGGGTTCGACATGGACATTCCTCTTTCCCAGTGCTCTCAAACTGATTCTGATAAACACAATTAGTCAATTACAAATATGCAACGCTATCCTTTTCTGCCAATGCAAAATAGAAAAATAATATGATTCTGTTCAATTTTGGTGTTATGGTATATGTGGCAATATATATATCTAACGTTGGAAATTTTGTGTTAAACATTAAATAGGTGGGCATTTATAAAAATTAGAGTAAATATTATTTTGGATGTGTAATAAAAAATACGGTCCTCACTTTAGTCCCTTATAAAAAGAAATTAGTCGTCTGGTCTCTATGAAATTCAGAGTAGACCCGTTTTAGTCCTTTTGAGGAATTAATATGGATCTTTTTTGAATTTGTGAGGGACCATGATTTCAATCAAATGGGTCTACTTTGAATTTCATAGGGACCAAAAGGATAATTTCTTTATGTAAAGGATTAAAATAAGGACCATATTTTTTTTAGGGACTCAAAAGATATTTACTCTAAAAATTAATAGGCGAGGTTATATTTATATTTTTTTATCTAAATCAAATAAACACTTACCACTTAATGTAATTTTATAGTCATTAATTTAATTTTGATCTAATAACCATAAAGATCCCAATAAAAAATTATAAATAAAAAACAATAAATATATAGCAAATGTTATTACATTTGGCTTAATTATTGAGGCAGTTTAAGTACAGGGTCACTAGTTCAATCGCATGACCTAATAAGCATATGCAAATCTATAATTTATATTAAAAAACTATAAATATACTCAAATACATGTAAAAAAAATGATACTAATTTCAAATATTTTAATATGAAAAATAATAAATTACACATCATTGTCCAATAAAAGATCAATCAATCATATAACACTTGTGATACGAGTACTTCAGGTTCAATAGACAGTATCTATCTATAAACAAAATCAAAATTCCTTGCATATTACATAACGAAGATAATATTACACAATATTGTAAGTACATAACTTATGTAAGTTAATAAGCAACAAATCACCCAAATATTTCAAAAGAAAATAAATTATTTATGTGTGAAAGTGAAAAAAAAAGTCATCAATTGATGAGAACAAATATTTTTTTTTATGAACTAAGTCGGGTCACTGGTTAAATCAATTGGATCATTGATTTTCACAAAAATCAGCCGGGTCACACTGGTTATGACCGATCTTATATGAAAAATGAACCGATTATATGACTGATTTAATGATTTTTCGGTTAACCGGACCGGATTGATCCAATTTTTATAACTGATTTATAGACACAATTTTGTAAGTTGATCTAACTTTTTAGGGTTAAACGAGTCTTATGCGAAAACAAAACTTTCTCTCGCTGACCCATCATAATTTGCATTTCTACTTTCTTTCTTTTTTTAACACATGTGGGCCTCACATTTGTTTTGTCTCTTGGCATGTGAGGAAACATTTTCCAATTTGTAGTATAAATACTTTTTTTCTAAAAAAGAAGAAGCAATGTTTGGCTTAAAAAAAGCCCATTCAAACATACTCTATATAAGTTGTCCGAGCGAGCTAAGCAATGGATCAATCATACAATAGATTCGATAAAACTCGACCAGTTTTTTTTTTTGACAAAAACAATGACCAGGCCGGTTCACAGAAAATCAAACATAAGTAAAAATTCAAGGGAAAACATTTATTAATTTATAGGGAAAAATTTGTCATTCCATGCCAAGTACTATGTTTTAATATATGGGTTTAATGTTTCTGCTTTTATGCAAAAAAATTTCTCTATCATACTCATATAAAAGTAAGTGTGTCTCATTATAAGAAGAAAAAATTCATTCATTTTTATGTGAGTGTGGCAGATAATTTTTTTCTTCAACAAAAGTAAAAACGTTTCTCCATTAATAGTTAGGGAAATATAAGTATTATGTTGTAGGAATGATATTTTTGTCGTACAACTCGTTTGTAACTATCTACTCTAAGAGTACATAGTTATAAAGAAAAACTTCACAAAAAAAAAATCTTTGTAACTTTTCTCATAATCATTTATCTCCTCCTCAAAATTTTGAATTATTCACCCTCTTGACTTAAAGTTTTTTTTATCATTTACCCCCCTAAGTGAGGGGGTAAGTGATAAAGAAAATTTAAGTCAGGGGTAAGTGATAAAAAAAATTAAATAAGAATATAAATGATTCAAAAAATTTGTGAGGAAAATGAATGATAATTGAGAAAACTCAAATGAGATTTTTTGAAATTTTTTCTAGTTATAATATTAAAGTTAACTTTTTTTTTTGCTAATGTAGAGGAGAGAAAAAAAAGTAATTTTAATATTATAATTATGTACTCCCCATAGTATATAGTTATAAACAGGTTGTATGACAAAAAGATATCTAGTAACAGGACAGACCCTGATAGTTAATAGAAAAAAGTTACAATAAAACCTTTTGTGGTTTGACTTTGAATCACTTATCCTCTGCTTTTTTTTATCAAATATCCTTTGTATTTTTTCATCCAAGATTCTTTTTAACCGTGTTTAGGATTTCTAATTAATATGACTATTCTACCCTTCTTATCAAGATGCACTTCATCTATTTTATGTCATATTCTCCCCCAAACTTTGCAAGGGTAACATACTTTGATCATATGTAAGTTTTCATGTGTTCTCTGATTTATGAGAAAATGACTTTGATCACGACAACTGTTAATTAAGAGTTAGAATGCTATTGTGTCTTGAAAATGACAGATAATTTTGTGGAAATTAATGTCGGAAATTAAAAAAAAAAACTTTATTAAAAATGAGCATAGCCTGTGAAGGAAAAAAACTTGTTAGGTGGAAAGATGCAGGGAAGTTGAACCAGTTGAACTATTTTATGATGTACAAACAAACTTAGGAGAAATATTAATTTGTGTTAGGTGCTGATATCAATCTATGTTTACTTATATATTTTGATCATATACAGAGATTCGCGACAAAGTTTGACCACCACACTCATCCACTCTCCAGTTGTACATTGATGCTATATCACTTCATTGGCTTTTCATTTTTTTTCTTGCCGAGAGATTTTTTTAATCTTTCATAAATTTTCAATCTGTCAGCTTCTTCTAATGTTCTTTCTCCATTGTGCATTAGTTTCCTTTATCCTTTTAATTTAACTCTGTTGAGTTCACAATCTTTTGGTGGTTTTGCAGCGTTTGCAAAATGCTCATACTTTCTTCTTCTTCTCAATAACCCTTACTGATAAAGCTTTTTATGGTGGATAATATCTTGTTAGTTAACTGCTTGACTTTCAATCCCTTTAAAGATTGGCTTCTTGCTACGGGTTCTTCGGATGAAACTGTGAAGTTGTTTGATCTACGCAGTATCAGTACTGCTCTTTACACCTTTTTTTTTTTTTTTAATAGACGCTCTTTACACCTTCGAAGGTCACGAGTAATTAACTAGGGGTGTCAATATAGATTTTGACACGCGGGTCGACTCGCGACACGATACGAAAATTCGTGTTCGGGTTGACCCGCAAAAAAATTTGTGTCGTGTTCGTGTTAGAAAAAATGACACGTAAAAAATTCGTGTTGATGTATTCGTGTTCGTGTCGACCCGTATTTTTTTAAAATTATTTTATTTTAATTTTTTTTAATTTCGATCCATTTTTTAAAAAAAAATTGTCAATTACCGTTTTGACCCCTATTTTGCGTGTTATTCGTGTCGTGTCGTGTCAACCCGCAAAAAATTCGTTTCGTGTCAGTGTTGAAGATTTTGACACGAATAAAAATCCGTGTCGTGTTAGTGTTGATGTATTCGTGTCGTGTCGAATTCGTGTCGTGTCAACCCGTTTTCACACCCCTATAATTAACATTCTCCTCATATGTTTCTAAATTTTCTCTAGTTGGGCAGTTTTTTTTTTGGACACAAAATCATGCTTTAATTGCTTGAAATTTTATACATTAAATTTTTACAACAAGTGGAAATGAAAATCTATTACCCTAGCAACATCACAAATTTTTTTAGGAAATTGGAGAAATTTTGTACGATAAAATAAAACACTCTTGCAAAGTTTGGAAAAGAAGATGATACAAAACAATTGAAGTGTCTATTTATAAGAAGAGTAGAATAATCATATTAATTAAAAACCCTGATATTATTAAAAAAGGACTTGAAAGAAAAAAAGCGAGTATAAATGTTTTAAAAAAGCATAGAAGATAAGTGATTCAAAAGGCAAATCAAAAATAATTATTTGAACTTTTCCATAATTAATATATATTTATTAACCTTTTTTCATATAATTAGGAGAAAAGAAAAAGAAAAGGTATCATAAAAGAGAAAAAATGAAAAATCAACCGGTATGTATGAAAACACAAAACACTGTAGGTTCACTTGTAATGAAAAAATGTGATCTTTAACATTGAAATTTGTCTTAGAATAAAAAAAATATTATTTTAAAGAACATGATTTATATTATTTTAAATAAAATGATCATATTGTAATATAAATTTAATAATTTTTTACTTTCTCTCCTCTACAGAATTAAAGAAAGAAAAGAGAAAGTATTATATAAGAGAAAAAATAAAAAAAAATCAACAAAAACGGTTATTTAATGTAAAATGAATTTTTTTTTTCTAAAATAAAACCAAACAAAATCGTTTAACTTTGCAATGCAATCGAGGTTTTCGTTTTATACACGCTAATTTCATTCTTGGTAAATAATCCCTTACTCTATTTAAATCCGTTCACTGAATCCAAATTAATCTGTCTCTTGTTGCCGCCGTCGCTCTCGCCGCTTGGATCCCGCCGGAAAACAGGTGAGGTAATTTTTTTGGATTTATTGTTTTGTTGCCTTTTCCATCCACGATTGTTCTGCTTCCTCCTCTGGCAATATTCCCAATATTTTTAACTAAATTGCTGTGATGAGAACAACGCAACATTTTTAACTCTGTTTTTCAGGGAAATACCATTTTCACCAAATCTATTACAAGAGATACAAAAAGGACACTACTTGCTCCTTCATCCTCCGCTATTTCTTATATTCTACCAATTTCACTATCAATATCATTCATCATCCAAACTTGGATTCGTTTCATGTTCCCACAATAGTATACTTCAACTCTCTACCAATCCAATCACTATTGATCGTCCCTTCTAACATTTTCCCTTCATTGCAACAGCTAAAATCTCACTTTTTGGTTGTCAATTGAAGGTGACACTCTTCCATTTTTTGGCTAAGGTAAGAAAGCTCTTTTCTTTCTCCTTATCCTGGGACCATTTTGGTAAATTGTACCATCTTTCTCCACAGACAATTTGGTTGTGTTATCTCTGCCTTGGTTGGTTTTTTTTTTTCCCTTTTAACTAAATAATCTTCAAGAGCCAACTCAGTGTCCGAATTTAATAGATTTTCCTCCAAGGGCAAGACCAAAACACTGTCAAGTCCATTACAGAAGAAGTCTCTTAGAGTTCACTGTGAACACGAGCCAATGTAACAAACTGTTTAAGTGCCCCCTCATTTGTGCTTTGCAAGCTTTCATTATACTATACAGTTCCATGTACAGAAAATGAAGTGTCTAGTTCAATGCCTTTGGAAGATTATTTTGCTTATGATAAGATATTAGTATTTCAGTATGTTTTTGGAATTTTGAGTATTAAATACAGATTTGCATATACTTATCCTGTGACCTATGCACTGATGTGGCTAAAGCCACTTTTGTTGACTTTGTTTGCGTATGGACCAACTTACTCTTATATTAGTAAGCTTTGAATTGCACTGCTCCAAATTCGGCCACCGTCCAATGAGCCGATTGAACATTTCCTTTATACAAACAAAAGGCACTGTCCAAGTGTTCAAAGGAATAGTAAAGCAATGTGCTTTACTTCCAGCATCCAATCCAAAGCTTACTAATATAATAGTAAGTTGGTCCCTATGCAAACAAGGTCAACAAAAGTAGCTTTAGCCACATCAGTGCATGTGTCAATCTCCCACTTAAAGTCACTTTTGGTGAGCTTTCAAAATCTTTCAAAGTTGGTAGCTACTCAAGCATGCAAGGAAGCAATTAGGATTCAAAGGTTAATGGAAGGGCACAAACAACAGTTAGTTACTGTGTATTGGGACAGTCAGAGTGCCTTCCACATTGCAAGAAATCCATCCTTTTATTCAAGGACGAAGCATATAGGAGTACAATATCATTTTGTCAAAGAAGTAGTAGAGGAAGGGAGTGTGGATATGCAGAAGATACATCCCAAAGATAACCTGGCAGATGTCATGACAAAACCAATCAATGTTGACAAGTTCATATGGTGTTGATCGTCCTATGGTCTATTAGAAACGTAAGCAGCATGAAACTGGCAAGAGAAAAAAGATTTTTAAAGCTCACCAAAAGTGACTTTAAGTGGGAGATTAACATATGCACGGATGTTGGCTTATGCCACTTTTTTTAACTTTGTTTTATATGGACCAACTTACTATTATATCAGTAAGCTTTGGATTGGATGATGGAAGTAAAGCACATTGCTTTACTATTCCTTTGAAGACTTGGACGATGTCTTTTGTTTGTGTAAGGGAAATGTTCAATCGGCTCATTGGATGGTGGCTGAATTTGGAGCAGTGCAATTTGACTTGCACAAGGAAGGAAAGGCACAACAACGCGGAGTGCTTCATTTGCTTCAGCCTATAAATAGGCAGCCGTGCCAATGGTTTAAGTATCCCCCAAAATCCAAGCTTAAGAGCGAATTCTCTTGGTATTCCAACTTAGAGAGATAAACACCAAGTGTTATTTTGAATGAGATGTATTCTCCTAGTATAAAAGAGAGTGATATTGGTCTCTCCTTCTATTTAGAGAAGGTTGTAATTTCTTTCACATAATGAAAATTTTCTTTAATCTTGCCCGTGGTTTTTCCCGATTGGGTTTTCCACATAAATCTTGTATGTCACTTCAATTGGCGTATTTTTTGCTCTCCTGACCGGTGAAATCAAGATAAAGTTAATTATATCATTGGTGTCTAGGAAAGTGAGTGGTTATTTAATTAGTCACCGTTGCGTAGCACAGAGAGATTCCCACTGGTTTACACTTCCCTGACCAATTGTGTGGTTAGCAGTGTCTTGAAACTCTGGTTTGTCTCAACTCTCTTTTAGCTGTATGATACTCTGTCACCTAACATTCTATTCACCCAGTGACCCAATACTCTGACGGAGTCCATAGCCTGGCAAGCCGGGTTTATTAACATTTCTCTTTACATAAAAAACAAGTTTTTTTTCTCTCTCTAATTACTATTTCTATCAAATAATATCTTTATCATTTTAAGTTAGGATTATTAACTAATATAAAAAAGAGAAGTGTAAAAAGTTCAACTTACATCAAAACTTGATCCATCCCTCTTGCAGAATGGGTAGCCTCAAGTGTTTTTTCAGAGCAACAAGGCCTTGTTCCTCTCTTTTGAGGCACATACGGTGCATGAGCAATGTCCCTGAAAACACAGTGTATTCAGGACCCATGTCCCAGAATGCAAACCAAAGAGTGACACTGACCCTTTTGAGGCAGAAGCACAGAAAGTCTGAACCCATCACAATGGTCACTGCCTATGATTACCCTTCAGCACTGCACCTAGACATGGCTGGTATTGATATCTGCCTTGTTGGTGACTCAGCTTCCATGGTGGTTCATGGACATGACACCACGCTACCCATCACGCTCGATGAAATGCTTTCTCATTGTCGTGCCGTGGCTCGAGGGGCTAAAAGGCCTCTTCTTGTTGCTGATTTGCCATTTGGGACCTATGAATCCAGTTCCAATCAGGTAATATTTTTTTTTTCCTCAATTTTGATCTTTTTCAATCAAACTGAAATTTGTTTCTTTTGAACTTGAAATGGCTCTTGTTGGGATGGTTGTAGACATAAATTTGGTTGAGTTCTTCAAAAGTTCATGAGAAAGTTTGCATTTTTTTCATTCAGAATTTGTTTAAGGGTGTATGTTTTTCTCATTGTTTCTGGTGTTGAAATGTTGAAACAAAATAGGAGTTAAGGACATAGGGTTATGTCTCAATCAGGATTTTTTTTTTGAACGAGTTTGGTGATTTTCAATTAAAGTGATATTTGTTCTTTTTGACTTGAAATGACACCTGTTTGGTTTTTGACTTGTTGGGATAGTTGCAGGCATAAGATTTGGTTGAGTTTTTCAAAAGTTAATGAGAAAGTTAGCCCTTTTTTTTTCAGAATTTATTTAAGGGTGTATGCTTTTCAGTTTTCACATTATTTTTGGCATTGAAATGTCAAAACAAAATTGGAATTAAGGACATGGGTTTGTTTCAATCAGAGTTTTTTCTGGATCAAGTTTGGTAATTTTCAATGAAAGTGAAATTTGTTTCTTTTGGACATGAAATGACACTTGTTTGGTTGTTGGTTGTGGAAACATGTTAGGAATTAAGGATTTGGGTGTTTGTTTCACTCACTGTTGATGAAATGGTTTTAACTGTTTTGGTTTTGATTATGAGCAGGCAGTGCATACAGCAGTTCGTATTTTAAAAGAAGGAGGAATGGATGCCATAAAATTGGAAGGAGGGTCCCCTTCAAGAATTGTTGCAGCAAAAGCTATTGTTGAGGCTGGAATAGCTGTGATGGGGCATGTCGGTCTTACTCCCCAGGCCATTAGTGTTTTGGGGGGATTTAGACCTCAGGGAAAGAATGTTGCTAGTGCTGTTAAGGTCTATCTCTCTCTAGCATGATGCATCTATTTGGCATTTGAACAATTTTATTGTCGTCGTAAAAGGAATAAGTCTTTTGTAGGTTGTAGAGGCAGCATTGGCTTTTCAAGAAGCTGGGTGCTTTTCTGTTGTTCTAGAATGTGTGCCTCCACCAGTGGCAGCTGCAGCAACAGCAGCCCTTCGAATTCCTACAATTGGAATTGGGGCTGGACCCTTCTGCAGTGGACAGGTGATTGCCCTTTTAGCTAATATTCTATTCTTAAGATGTACTGTAGTTAGAGATGAGTGGATTAGCTAAAAACATACAACCATTCCTTTATTTGAAGGCTTGTATTCTTCATCAAGTTGCTGTGTTTTAGGCTTTCTGGCTCAAATTAAATTGTTTCTCTTAAATGATATTTTCAGTTTCATATCTATGTATGTAGATATTATTGAGTTGGAGATGTTAAGATTGATATTGAGGCTCTTGACTACCAGTAGCCATGGATGGAATTCTAATTCGATTACCCCTCAGTTATTTTGAGATAATTAAACAAAGCATTATTTGTCAGTTTACAATTTTACATTACACTCGTTCTTTTGGGGAAGAGACGAAAGGGTTTGGGGAAAGCTGATGATTTCTAATTTAGTTTTATTGTTCATGCAGGTGCTAGTTTACCATGATCTGCTTGGTATGCTACAACACCCCCACCATGCAAAGGTATATATAGCAAATCTCAACGTAGTTTTTTCTTTCAATCATTACAGGATTCATTGCTAAAGTGTAGATGATCTATCTTTTACAGGTTACTCCAAAATTTTGTAAGCAGTATGCCCGTGTTGGAGATGTCATGAATAAAGCTTTACTAGAGTATAAGGAAGACGTGATAAATGGTTCATTTCCTGATGCTCACCATAGCCCGTACAAAATCAGTGAAACAGATGCTAATGGTTTCTTAAATGAGTTGCAAAGGTTAGGTTTAGACAAGGCAGCATCTGCGGCATCTGAAGCAGTTCAAAAGATGGATCCTACCAAATCAGTTGGTGAAGGAAACCCACCAAAGTCATAATTTAGTAAAGCTACAGAATCACCCTTCTGTTTTCATCTGATGTCCTTCATCTTCCTCAATGGCAGAACAAATTCAAGGGACATAATAATTGAACAGAAGTGGAGAAGACTGATAGATAGATAGATAAATGCCATTTTCTTAGGCCAGATTGCTTCAATAGTTCAATTGCTTTTCTTGTTTTTCCTCTTCTCCTCTTGATCATTGATAGAACCCATAAAATTATAACTATATATTTACTAAATCAAGAGCTTACAAACACCAATTCAAGATAAAATGCAGAAAATAAACATTAAAAGACCTCACTCACTCTCAAGCCAATATACCTAGGCCAAAGAGATCTTTTCCCAAAATCCACTCCAAATATTCTGAATACATGTATGCCTAAACCCCACCCTCAGATCACCCTATATAACAACATTTTTCCCTCTAACTAACTACTACGGACTATTTTATATTGCTGGACTTGGGCCCACTTGTCATAGCCCAACAATACTCCCTCTCCAAAATTCACCTTGTCCTCAAGGTGAAGGGAGAGATCAACATTTTTGCCACAAAGTTTCACCAGGATCCCATTGCTTGAAGCATATTAAACAAAAATCGTACAATTGCGTGTTATCAATCGGGTCATAGGTCCTCCTCTGAAATTCACCTGCGCGCAACTGCAATTCAGAAACATTAGGCCTTCTCTGATTCACATGAGGCCCCAAATGGGTTTCCCCACTCAGCCCATTATTTTCCTTTACGAAATTCCCATTTTGCCTCCTTTTTGGATTAAGTTTCTTGTTCCCGTAAATGTTGACCCATGTCTTCCATTGCTGACTACTGGGCCTTGCCCATAGCTTCCCTCACCAGAAGTCCAATTAGTAAGTGCAAGCCTAGTGTGGAAGCTAACCCTAAATCTTGACCCGTAATTTGATCGCCTCAATGATACTCTGATCCCTTCTCTTCTCTTCTCCCTTTCTTCCACCTTGGTCAGTGATCTTCTCCGGTGAGCAGCAAAGTCGATGGCCTGAGCTCCTTGTGCCGTCGTCCTTGCTACCGTTCGTGATCGTTGCCACTGTTCGCTTGCAGTCTCGTGCTAGTTCTAGATCTGTGCGCACGTCGTCTCCCTATTCCAGATCTGACTTGGTCTTCTTCAACCTCAGATCTTTCCTCTTTATACAATTCTTCTGTGCTGGTTCCAGATCTGTGCGCGCGTCGTCTCACTATTCTAGATCTGACTTGGTCTTCTTCAACCTCTACCTCTTGCTTTTTTTCATCTTCTTGCGCTCCTTCTTCCTTTCCGTCTTGCTCTTTTTCTGTAAATTCTTCAGCCTCTTCGATCTATTCTTTTTTTTCTTCTTCGATTTTCTTTTTCTTTTTTTCCTTTTTCTTTTCTGTCGTCGTTATTCACCTTGTCCGCTGCACCTTCAGCCTCTTCGTCAGTTTCTTTTTGTTCTTTTTTTTTCTCCTTCCTCTTTTTTTTCTTTTTTGATTGCTTCTTTTTTTTCTCCTGCGTTTACCTTTTTTGCCTTTCTTTTACATTTTCTTCCTTTTTTTCTGGGTTGTTTGAGACTTCAACTTCATCTACTATATAGATCTCAGGTATATATCTCTTTATACTCTATCAAAACTCCGCCAACTTACATGGGGACTGAACCCACTCCAAAGTTTCTACCAGTTGAGCGCTCTACCTCTCAACCCCTTCACAGCTTCATTCAGCATATCAGTTTCTTGAATTTGATTTGCTTGAAAATGTTGTTCAAGCCCGAGAAACCATCCCCAAGCTTTAATTCCATCTTCATCTCCATAAAATTCTAGAATCATTGTAGATCTGTATTATTTTTTTTAGATCTGAACCAGAAAGCACCTCTGGGATCGAAAATGCTCTGATACCAAATTGATGGAACCCAGAAAATTATAACTATGTATTTACTAAATCAAGAGCTTACAAACACCAATTCAAGATAAAATGCAGAAAATAAACACCAAAAGACCTCACTTACTCTCAAGCTAATATACCTAGGCCAAAGAGATCCCAAGAGATTCTTTCTAACTAAATCCACTCCAAATATTCTAAATACATGCATCCCCAAACCCCACTCTCATATCACCTTATATAACAACATTTTTCCCTCTAACTAACTACTATGGACTATTTTATATTGTTGGACTTGGGCCCACCTGTCATAGCCCAACAACCATTAAGGTCAAGAGGCACTTGACTGCAGTTTTGACTCAGAGAGTAACCAAGGCCTGGACCATTTTCTCATTTCTTATTCAATGCAATTCCTTGATTTTTTTTCCTTTCTCATCTCACCCGTTCACAATTCTGGCTCTCTCCAAATCAAATACCATAATCCCTAAAAAAATACTCATTTTCATTTTTTAATTCCTTTTGTCTAAATGTAACTTTTCAGGACTCTTAACATTTGATTTTGCACAATTTCTCAAGGTTGTGGGAGTGGGTATGATACAAGGAACAGTGACCAAAATATCACGTTTTGTCAAAAAATTTATCCAAATGCCACGCGAACAGTGTTTTTTACCAGACTGTCACGTGTCATAATTCGCTACCACTGGTAGCGAATTTCGTGGTCAATAATTTTGTGACACGTGGTCATATTGCAGACCAAATTCGCTACCAGTAGTAGCAAATTATGACACGTCAGCTTTTTCCTGCAAAAGTGTGCCGCGTGTCAAAAAATCATTCGCGAACATAATATGCTACACAGTGTAGCGAATTACTACATGTTTGACACATGTTATTTTTGCTGACTGTACATTCTGACGTGGCATAATTCGCTACACTGTGTAGCGAATTTTTTGCAAGCATATTTCGCTACACAGTGTAGCGAATTATCCCACGTGACATTCTGAAAAAATTTACTGTTGCGTAACAGTCTGGTAATTTTTTTGAGCGAGCGTGAAAAATGGTCACTGTTGCTACCTTTGGACTTCAGTTGCTGGTGTTGAACATAGCGTTGTCTTACAATAGTATAGTATCTTCAGTTACTTTGCAAGCCTTCTATTATATTTAGATTTTCCAAGTATCTGTCTCCTTGACAAGTCCAATGTTTGTTAGACACCAGAAAGTTAAAGTGGTTGAGGCAAGACAATCTGTGCCGGTTACCAGTTTCCTTTACCAACCAAGAAATTTTTTATTTTATTTTTTTGGGTATAAAGAAAAATCTTCATATTTGCTATGTGTTATAGGCTTTCCCAATTTACTATGAAGTATAAACCATTGCATAAAAGTATTGACATCACTCGAAAACTGTCTCGGAATATTTATTAAGGGAAATCAACTTCTCATGTTATAGAAAAATTATTGTTCAAACCATACCTGTAGAGATATCGAAAATAGAGATTGTGTTTATTTATTTTTTTATTTAATGTTTTAGTGGGTCCCACCATCGATGTGTCTGCAGGTATGAATAGTAATTTTCTTGCAACATGACAAGTTGATTTCCCATTTATTAATGCCCACGTCAAAAATTGTTCATAAAATGATGGATATCAAATCATAAACCAACGAAAAAGAGAAGAAAAACAACTCCTCAGAAACCAACGGTTCATTCCGGTTTTTACTATACTGCTTTATATAATCATGTACTAAATCCATATCCAAATAAAAGATTCAAATCAACACAAGCTTCAACGTATTGCAAACCTGAGATCTGAATAATTTTATAAGGCGAATCAAAGTCTAGTGAACTTTATTCACAATATGATACAGTTTAATTTTACAGTAGTAAATAAAACATAGTAGTGGATCTTAAGGAGGATGAAGAGATATCGAATTCATTAGGGCGGCCGATACCAACTAAACCGGTGTTGGTTTAAGTGGTTAGTGATATATGTTTTATTTTGCTTAAACAAAATTTTGGTTGAAGTTTTTATTAATGTAAAAAAATTTCTTTGAAAAATCTAATCTCATCATGATATAAATGTTCTCAACTCAAATAAAATTGTCTTCTGTAAAATATACTTGTGATTTATAAAAAAAAAACATAGTAGTTATTCAAATAGTATAAATATAATGATCCACTTGAAATTGACTGTGGCCAGATCATACTAAAGTTAGTTGGCTTCTGTTGGGATATTCAAGTGTGATGAGTCTCACATTGGTTGGTAATGAGCTAAGTGAAGAGTATATAAGTGAAAGGATCCATGAACCCAATGCCTTAAGGTTTTGGGTTGAGACATGGTGTCGGATCCACTTGCTACGGTTGGTGTAGCCTTAGCTCATTGGTGGCCCCCCACCACGGGCTTCCCCTTGGACTCGCCTGACAGTGGTATCAGAGCCGAGTTAGGCTCGAGCTAGCCTGGTGATTGATTGGCTAGGAGACGGATCGAGTACTTTGCGCTTGGGGTACTCGGTTGAGGGGGAGCATACCAATGGCGGGTTTCACACTTGAGGGGGAGATTGTTGGGATATTCAAGTGTGATGAGTCTCACATTGGTTGGTAATGAGCTAAGTGAAGAGTATATAAGTGAAAGGATCCATGAACCCAATACCTTAAGGTTTTGGGTTGAGACATGGTGTCGGATCCACTTGCTATGGTTGGTGTAGTCTTAGCTCATTGGTGGTGACCCCCCACCACAAGCTTTCTCTGGACCCGCTTGACAGCTTCCAAATCTGGAGGCATATTAAAAAGCAACTTGAATAAATTGTAAGATTCTTGTTGTGTGATATTATGTAATTAAATAACATATTATGTAATAGGTATGTAATTAAATCTCTATTATATAAAGGGAAAAATGTTTTTGATTTTATTGTAGAAAAAAATTTTGGTCATATTTGAGTGGGTGAGTCCCATATATGAAAATGATTGGGTTCATTAATTTTTTCTCTCTCTCTGTACAACGAGATTATTTACTTTTATATGAATGTTACAGTACAAAAAGCTCTTTGATTCATTTAGGATTTTGATCTCTTTAATTTTTTAATTTAGTATTTAATTCTCGGTATTTATCAATAATGTTATTCAGTGTTACAGAGGGACCCATCGCACTGAGTGTTGTGATCATCCCTCTACGTCACTCACGTTTTATTTTATTTTTCAATTGAGTGACGCCCCTACCCCCTCGGCACTCACTACCAAGTGGCACAATCTCATTAGTTATGTTACCGTAAAACTTCGAAAGACCATCATAACTTTTGATTCGGGTATCCAAATCAGATAATTTTATTTTATTTCACATAATTGTTGGACAGGTGGCTTCAATACTCAAGAGGGGGGTGAATTGAGTTTTACAAAATCTTTTCGCAAAGTACCTTCTTTGATGTTTTAAAGACTATTTCTTCGATAAGGTGATTTAATAAGGAAATGTCTAATTGTAAAAGCAAGTGTAGTGATCAACAAAGTAAGCAAGCAAATATATAAAGACAATCTAAGATGCAATTTTAATATTTAAATAAAGAGATTAAGGTTAGAGAAATTGCAAACTAGATGTATCCTGGTTCGGTCACCACCACCGTGACCTACGTCCAGACTGAAGCTGCTCGATCAATTCTTTTCACAAACTATCAAGCTTGAGGGTGCTTGACAAACCATTACAACTTTCCAAGACTTCGGACTCTTGATGCCTTACACTTTTTCACTCCAAATTTTCTTAGGAATTTGGTAACCTCTCAAATATAGGGTTCACTCCCCTCTCAAATCAAGAAGTAATATTGAGGTGATTAGAAGTGGCTAAGTACTCTCAAAGTACAGATTGAACAAATTGAAGAACTAAGAGATGTATAACTTCAAAGGGAAGATGAGCTCAAGTGTATGCAATGATCAAAGTAAGTAATTAATGAGCAATAAAAGCCTAGCAAGAGTAATAAAGCTTCAATAAATGATCTAGGGTCGTGCACTGTTCATTCCAGCTGATGTGGGTATTTATAATGACAACTCCTATGAAAACTAGTCGTTTCTAGTCGTTTATAGCCGTTGTAATCCGTACATATCCGAATATTTGTCGGGCACATATCCGGATATTGGATATCCGGATATTCTTGGTTCCATATCCGGATATTGGATATCCGGATATTCAAAGTGGAATATCCGGATATTTCATAGCAGCAGCCTTTTTTGTACGAGTTCTGAGTTTCTACTCTTTCCAAATGATTTTTATGACGTGTAATGCATGTTATTGGTTATGGAAATTATCTAGAAAAGTTTGTATCACATAGGTACTTCTTCCAAACCAATATTGTACATATGAAACCATTTGTCTTGACTTTTCTTTTAAGGATGCATGCTTTTGAAATATATGATTGATGAATGACCTTGAGCTCATGCAATGCTTTATATCTATACATCTTTACATTTTTATCCTAAGTCCTAAATAAGTATACCATTTGAGATTCTGGACTTGGATTGATGCTTGAGACTTGGTGCATGCTTTCACATTTGCTTTTTGGATATTGCTTCGTCTTTGAATCATTCCTCTTTGTTATCATCAAAACGTTGTTGACGTGGAATCATCAAATGTACGTTGTATCCACATTATCACTTTGATTCATCAATAACTTTTCGAGATCTACGCAATAACACCTCATCTGGCATATTTTATCTCTCACAAACACAGTTCAAAATTGTAAAAATGTAAAACTATTATTACAAATTTGAACTATGTTTATGGAAGATAAAATATGTCAAATAAGGTGTCATATATATCGAAAAGTTATGTAAAATAAAAAAATTGTTTGATTTGGATAGCCGAGTCAAAAGTTATGGTCTTCCGAAGTTTTACGGTAACTGGACTAACAATATTGTGCCACTTGGCACAATTCTGTGAGTGCCGAAGGAGGTGGGGGCATCACTCAATTGAAAAAAAAAAATGTGTGAATGTCGCTGACCCTGCAAAACTTAATGACTCTCATTAATAAATACCATAAATCAAAGAGCAAATTGATACATTAAAACCTCAAAAAATCTGGAACATTGACCAAAGCGTCACTGTTTCACAAATTTTTATTCAAATGCCACTCGAACAGTATTTTTTTAGCAGACTGCCACGCGACGTAATTCGTTATGATTGGCAGCGAATTACGTTTGCCAATAATTTCGTGACTCGTGGCCACATTGCGTACCAAATTCACTACCACTAGTAGCAAATTATGTCCATTCAATTTTTTTCTATGAAAATGTGTCATGTGTCACAAAATTACGTCACATGACAATATAATAAAACGTATTTTTCGTGTAACATTTGAATAAATTTTTTTTTTAAAGAGTGACACTTTGATAGATGTTCCAAAAAATCCCTTACATAAGGAGTCAAAAAATTCTTCAACAAAACCATAAACATTAAACCCTTACATAAATCATTTAAAATTTTTAGTTGTATCATGTTCTGTGAGATTCTTCTTTGCAACTTCTCCACCGTTAACGGCCAGCTCCGCCTCCGGCCTTGTAAACGATGTTGACACAATCAAAACTCCTCCGCCGCTATCGCCGCCGCGGCTATCATCTACCCTCCACGCTTTTCTCTCTGCGGCGCAGCCACAGCGACTCGCCCTCACACTCACGAGACGGCGCCGAATCGATCGTAACCCAAGTCGTAGAACTTCTCAAACCGCCGAAGAAACAATGGGACTATGATCAACTTCAACCCTTTCTCTTCAACACCTCACCTCTCTCATCTTACAATCTCCTTCAAATCACTCTCCGCTTAGGCTCCATTCCCAAAGCCCTTGACTTTCTCGAATACCTAAGGAAGAAAGCACAACCCCAACACCATCACCATTCTCTCTCTTCCGTGTTCCAGGGCGCTCTCGAGCTCGCTTCTCGACACCCCAGTTCGCAAACGGAGCTTCTGATGCTTCACAGTTTACGAAAATCGAACAACCGTAGCATCCCTCTCACTGCTAAATCGGCTTCTCTTCTTATGCAATGCTTCGAGAAGGCCCAAATGTTGGACGATTCTCTTCTTCTGTTCAACGAGCTCGACCCATCTTCGAAAAGTACCCGAATTTGCAACGGGTTGTTAAGGGTGTTGCTGAAATCGGGTCGTACCGACGATGCACTCCACGTGCTCGACGAAATGCTTAAACCGAATTCCGGGTTTTCTTCGGATAATTTCACGGGTGAAATTGTTTTTGGGTGGTTGGTGAAGAGGGAGCACCCTGGAAGAAGCGATGCTGATGTGGAAATTGTGGGGTTGGTTACCAAGCTAGGTGAACATGGAGTTTTCCCTGATACGTTTAAGCTTACCCAAATGATAACAAAGCTGTGTGGGAAACGGAAGAACGGTGTTGCGTGGGAACTTTTGCATGGTGTGGTGAATTTGGGTGGTGCAGTTGAAGCTGCATCGTGCAATGCGCTGTTAACAGGGCTAGGAAGGGAACGAGACATTGAGAGGATGAATAAACTGATGGCAGAGATGAAAGAAATGAAGATACAACCAAGTGTCGTGACCTTTGGGATTCTTATTAATCATTTGTGCAAGGCAAGGAGGGTTGATGAAGCATTAGAGGTGTTTAATAAATTGAGAGGTAAAGGGGAAAATAATGATATTGGTGTTGAACCTGATGTGGTCTTGTTTAATACTTTGATTGATGGACTTTGTAAAGTTGGGAGGGAAGAAGATGGTTTGATTTTGTTGGAAGAGATGAAAACAGAGAATAAAAATAAGCCAAACTCTGTTACATATAATTGCTTGATTGATGGGTTCTTCAAAGCTGGCAACATTGATAAAGCATGTGAGTTATTTAGTCAGATGAATGAGGAAGGACTACAGCCAAGTGTGGTCACCCTCAATACATTGGTTGATGGTATGTGCAAACATGGGAGAGTCTTTAGTGCAGTTGAGTTTTTCAACGAGATGAAAGGGAAGGGCCTGAAAGGAAATGCTGTTACTTATACAGCACTAATATCTGCCTTCTGTGGTGTGAATAATATTGATAAAGCCATGCAATATTTTGATGAGATGTTCAGTTCTGGATGCTCTCCAGATGCCATTGTTTACTACAGTTTGATATCTGGTTTAAGCATTGCTGGAAGGATGGATGATGCCAGCATTGTAGTGTCAAAGTTGAAACAAGCTGGGTTCAGTCTTGATACAGTTTGCTATAATGTCCTCATCAGTGGATTCTGTAAGAAGAAGAAGCTGGAAAGAGTCTATGAAATGCTTAACGAAATGGAAAAAACTGGAGTTAAACCTGATACAGTCACCTACAACACTTTGGTTTCCTACCTTGGCAAAGTTGGAGATTTTGCAACTGCTAGTAAGGTGTTGAAAAAGATGATTGAAGAGGGTTTTGAGCCTTCTGTTGTCACATATGGGGCACTTATACATGCATATTGTTTAAAGGATAATGTGAATGAGGCAATGAAGATTTTTAGGGAAATGTGTTCTACATCTAAGGTTCCTCCCAACACTGTGATATACAACACTTTAATAGATGCTCTGTGCAAGAATAACAATGTAGAAAGGGCTGCTTCTTTGATGGATGACATGAAAGTAAAGGGGATTCAGCCTAATACTACTACATATAATGCTATTCTCAATGGGGTTCGTGATAAGAAAATGTTGCACAAAGCATTTGAACTTATGGATAGAATGATTGAGGATGCTTGCAGACCTGACTATATAACCATGGAGATTCTTACTGAATGGCTTTCTGCAGTTGGTGAAATAGAAAAACTGAAACTTTTCGTCCAGGGGTATCAGGTTAGCGTAAATAAGTCACTTTTTTCCGAATGATGTAACGAATGTTTGGTACTCATAACATTTAAGATATTTTAGTCATTCATCTTCATCTCAAACTTCACTTTGTTTCTAGTATGCTTGAGCTAAGTCTAAATGTAAGGTTTCAAATTTTGTTCTATTTTAGCCCATTTTTGAAACACTAACTAAATTAAAATTTGAAGTGTAAATGTATGTTTTATGGCAAGGTTAAATTAATATGTTAAGTCTTTATGGTTTTATTGGAATTTCAAACAGGTTCTTATATTTTAAAAGTTTTTACAACCATTGGCAGCCGCTAGATTATGTTATTAGTTGTTTAGAGCCATTTATAGGTCATTTTGTATTTGCTTTATACATTTAAGGGACTTAGTTATAAAATTTTAGAATTAGTAGGGATCTGGAGACCTATTTATATTTTTTTTTTAAGTATATGGACATCGTTAAATACTTTAAATTTTATAAGATTAGAAAATTATAGAGATTTATATAGTAAGTAAAAATTGAATAAATTATCTGTACAAGGAGTAGGGTCAACGCAAAAGAAGTGATAAAATAAGTAGAGAAAAATTGGCAGCAGAATTTCATGATCTAAAAAATAAATAAATATTTGAAATACTTTTTTGAGATTTTTTTTCAAAACTATAATTATCTCTAATATATTTTAACAATAATTTTTTCTTAAAGCATAATAAGTTAATTTAAATGGGTTTATTATTTCTCTTGTCGAGATAAAAAAATTTCTAGCAACTAATAGTTATGTTATGGGGTTGGAAGAATTAATAAAAAGTGTTTTAGTAAAATTCTTATAAAAAAAATTAAAATATAAAAAATATCTTTTATTAATTATTTCAACCCCGACGTAGCTTTAGGATTGTTAAAAATAATTTTATTTACTGTGACGAAAAAAATATTTATATATATATAGGGATTGTAGTTTGTCCTTTAACATGACACCATCAAATTTCCTACACACACAACATTTTGTGGGACCCACACTTTTTAAAACAAAAAAAAATTAAAAAAGTTAAGGCACGCAAAACGAATCTCTATAACATTACACAATCATTTTTCCTACAACATAACTCTTATAAAATCTATATATATATGGCTTTCATTTCTTTCTGTTGCTTGAAGAAATTTTTCTTTCTGCCACAGACAAGGAAAATAATATTAAAGAAAGAGAAAAATACACATTATTCAATGACTTTGCTTTGTGTTGCATGACAAGCAATTTTGTTCCTGTAACATGAGTCTCATTTATCTCAAATATATATATATATATATATATATATATATAGGGTTTTATAAGAGTTATGTTGTAGGAAAAGTGATTGTGTAATGTTATAGAGATTCGTTTTGCGTGCCTTAACTTTTTTAATTTTTTTTTTGTTTTAAAAAGTGCGGGTCCCACAAAATATTGTGTGTGTAGGAAATTTGATGGTGTCATGTTAAAGGACAAACTATAATCCCATATATATATATATATATATATATATATATATATATATATATATGAATTTTATTAGTGTTATGTTACATAATTTAAGTGTTGTTTTCAACACACACAAAAATGGAGAGAGAAAATGGAATGATCAAAGAAAAAGAAAAACATGTGGACCCCACCTCTTTAATGTGTGTGTAGGAAAGTGATGTTATATCATGTTACATGATAAACATAAAATCATATATATATATATATAGGGTTTTATAAGAGTTATGTTGTAGGAAAAGTGATTGTGTTATGTTATAGAGATTCGTTTTGCGTGCCAGAGTTTTTTTTTTTTTTTTTGCTGCGGGCCCCACAAAATGTTGTGTGTGTAGGAAAATTTTTGTGGTCATGTTAAATGATAGATGATAAACCCATATATATATATATATATATATATATATATATATATATATATATATATATATATATATATTTCAAAATACTGTTAAGATAGCTAATTATACTTTATTTGGAGCCAAGCGAACGGCACAAAATGACAAATAATTGGTGTGACTGACATATTAACGTGACTCTTGTTGGGAAAGACATGTGGCAGACGTGGAATACTTTGCTAATTTGCCTATTACTGACCAAAACTGGTAGGAGTCAGATACCATTAGATAAATCAAAGTGCATCCTAATTTCTTAATTACTTTAATCTTCACTCTCTATATCTAGTTGATTTAATCAAGTTAATTCGGCCCGTTTCAATTGATATTTTAATCAAGTAGTTTTTTTTAAAAAAAATAGTTTAATTTTATTATGAAATAATTAATAACTATGTTAATTTAATATTTAGATAAATATAAATATTATACCAAACCCAATAATAATATAAAACACTAAAAAGTGTTTTATAATATATATTTAAAAATAAATTGTTAATATAAAATATTATCATATTATAAAAACATATCGTGTTTACCAAAAAAAAAAAATACATATTGTTCTGTCTATGTGACAGAGATGTTTAGCTTAAGGCTAGTAGATCAATATGTGATCGGAGTCTCTCTCTAAGATATCTATGGAATAGATATCTAGATATGGAAGATCACTGCACACAACTAATAACGGTGGATCGTATCTGCATAAACACAGCATAACAATAAGAGAGAAATTATATTATACGTGTAGCTTTACCTTCTATTTATATAGTTTTACATATGAGTATATGAGTTTTGGACCACCTATTCACAAGCCTAAATGTCCTCTTGCACAACTATTATTTAATTGCCCTTTGTTGGACTTTTAGACATACGAGCTTTTCGTAGGTCCATAATACATATCAATTCAGATTATCATTGATTTTAAATATATTAAATTAAGTTAAAAATATTATAATTTATTAAATAAAATATGCATGCAAATTTTATAAGAATCGAGTTATATTGAAACAACATCAGTATGATAATTTGAGTTCACACAATACGACACAAATTTAACATCAATATGAATACATTTAATATAAACACGACACGAATTTAAAAAATGGGACAAAACTTGTTAACACGATCACAATTCGCTTATTTTACATGATGACACAATACTACTAAAATAACTTGTTAACATCAAAATGTATTGTTTATTATGTAAGTTGATACAATTTAACATGATGAACAACTTATCAACCTTGAAATATGTCATAAATATTAATAAAGGATGTTAATGCAGGTCCGTTTCATGTTTATAAATTGACATGCAACATAACAATTTTTTTTGTATTTGCCAACAAAAACAAAACATCAATTTGTAAACAAGTTGATTCGAATATAAGTCTCTAGTATCGAGTCATTAAATCGTGTTGAAAATTGTCACATTTAATATGAACCTGACTTAAAAATCAAAAAAACGAAAAACAAAACTGATCTAATTTTTAGGCACCAAATCCTTAATGGATTAGTTTAAAGTTGAACCGGATCTTGACCACTCATCTCTTAACCCCCGCCGGCTGCCCCCTAGTCAAAAGAGGATTAGAACAATTTGTGGTTGAGCACAATCTTATTGGAATAACAACCCAACAATAATGGACCCTTCTATCATAGTCACATAATCATAATCATTGCCGAAACAAAAGTCAACGCAAAAGTGCTAGGTAATTTATCACAACCAATTTTAAATTCAACGAACTTACACAAATTACATGGACTTACAAAAGCTCTTGAAATGAATTGATTTTACATTAACAAAGGTATGACTAACAATCACTAAAACAAAGATAAAACTGCCTAATCTACCATATTACTATACTTTGTTTGTTACGATTCCTCCAAAATGCACTAGTTCCTACACCCCAAAAAGAAAAAAAAGAAAAAAAAAGAAAAGAAAAAGTTGCTATTCTCTGTAATGGAAAGCATTGAAACAAATGAGTCAGCTACCACCAGCTGCAGTGGCAGCATTATTGGGCATACAAGAAGGAAGAGCAACACTATCTGAAAAAGGTTCGGCAAAGCAATCACCAGACCCTGTTAGTTCATCTAAACCTTCAAAGAAATCATCTGTTAGCATCGTATCTGATGATAACCCAAATTCATTTTCTTCCTCATCATCATCATCATCCATCAAACTTTCCATATCCTCTATGCTCTCTGACTTTGCAACCTCTTCTGAGGTGGTTGGAGAAACCGGTTTTGTCAGTGATTTGCCAGAGTCTGAGGTGGCTGCAGTAGCTGTTTGATTAGGAATCAGTGGCTTCTGGCGTGTGGACCCAGCAAGAGAGTTTCGATGAGAAGGAGCAGGGTGGCTATGTTCTCCTGTGTAGGTCACTATGAACATTGCTGGGTCGGTTTTGTTCCTCTCCACTTGTTTCCTAGCTAAGCACCCTTTTGAACTGCTACATCTATAGTATCCCCTGTTAATCATAGAACAATCAAAGCTTGGTTGAGCCTTTTTAAGTTCAAAATTTTAACTTATTTTTTTGCTCAAGTTCTTAGTAAAAGAAAGAGACTAACCTAGGATATGGTGACCCTTTAATTGGTTTCTGACCATATTTCCTCCATGCCCATATGTCTGAAGAAAGATTCTCAGCTGGCACTTCACAAACTTGCTTAAGCTGATTCTTCCTATAATTGAGAAAAAGAAAATGCATTTTACACTAAAATCATGAATAAAAGGCATGGTTTTTAAGACTTAATTAGCTAGCTTAAATTCAAGATCTTTATGGTTTTGGGGTATCTGATTCTGATTCCCTTTCAATTGTTGAAAGAAAAAAGAAGCTAAATTTACCTTCTTTTAGGTCGTGGGGCGGTGGCAGAACCAGCATGGTGAGGCTGCTTACTAGTCTGATGTTGTTTTTGCTGCTTCTGAGGTGATTTGGGAGCAGATGAAAAAGAGAAAGAAGTAAGTGAAGAAGAGGATTTCAATGAAGGAGGCTGTGATTTGAGGAAGAAAGGCTTGCAAAGATCATTCAATTCTTCAATGGAACTAGTTGCTTCAAAAGGGTTTGATTTTGAAAGGGGTAAAACTTGGTCTCCTTGTTCATTAGGAAAAATAGAGAAGATGCTGCAGGAAGCTGAAGGCTGGTAAAAAGTCCCAAAAACAGAGGAAGATACAGAGGAGACGGCGGTACTGGCGGCGGAGACGGTGGTGGCGGAGGAGGTTGTGGCGGCGGAGGTGGTGGTGGTGCAGCCTCTGACTACAGCGTAGAGATCCCAATCGTCCTCCATAACCGTAGAGACAACGTCTGCAAATATCTGTTCTGTACCTCCTGCTCCTCTCAGAGTGGGACAAAAGAAGGCGCTGACTTTTTTTAAGTGAAGAGAGAGAAATGATAAGGTTGCAATAAATAGGAAAAAGACAAGTATATATAGAGAGAGAAAGTGGACATTTCAAAAAGTCTACTTGGAGAGAATCAAATAAGGGATCAATGCGCGTCGTTCAATTAAGTTGTGTAAACTTGACTTTGTTTCAACTTAATTTTCATAAAAGTAAAAATGTATATCATTTTAAATGATGTAAAATTATGTCATTTTAAGTGAGATAAAAAGATAGATAAAAGAAAAGAGAGAGTAGACAAGAAAACATAAAGGTATGAGTTTCACCTCTTTGTGACGGTAAAATGACACAAATTGTGTGATTTAAAATGACACACTTTTTTCTTTCATAAAAATTCCAAATTGCATTTGTAGCTTAAAACATGTTGTATCTCTTTTAAATTTATGTACAAAAAAGATATGTGTTATCGAACATTATAAAAGTCCATATGTTAGAAGGGTTATGAAGAGGGAATCGAGTAAAGATTCTTTAATCATACTAATTCTATTATAATAGTAATAGATCATGAACTGGATCCCAAAATTTACTAATAGATTTATAATTTTACTTTTGTCAAGTAACTCATCGATAAATAAAGGATTAAGTTAATAAGATACACATTCTCAAAATATTCTCTCTTTTAGTTGTTAATGTACACACACATCATTGACTATGCTGTTATTATGATTGTGCATAGTGATTCACTATTTTCTAAATATCTTTCCTATAAATACTGGATAGAGGGCATCAGGATCCAAAATTAACATACCAGCATTCGTCTAAACATCTTTGTCATAGGACATTACAATATATAACTAATATTATTTAAGAAGTTGTAAACAAAAATAGGTTGTAAGTATAATTTTCCCCTGATTTAATAGGCCAAAATATTCACGGAAATGTTGGGTTAATTTTCTTAATTCTATGTTTGATTGATTGTAAAATAATGGTGAAAATATGGATTGGGGTTAATTATGTCTCAAAAAAATTATCAAATATTCTCATTACATAGATTCTTAAAATACCATCAAATTGATGATATTTTAAGATAGAATTTTTTTCATAAATATGAATCTTGAGAATCCGATTTTCTTGGATAAAATTTTACAATTTTCCGTACCAAATATGGATAAATCAAATTCTCAATCTCATTTTTTTTTTTTTTAATTTTTTCCTCCCATCAAGCACTCCCTTGAGGGGGCGTTTGGTTGAGAAGAAATTTGTTGAATACTAGGGAAATGTAATTGATAGGGAAATGGTTGGAAAGTGAGTTTAGTAGAAAAATGTAAAAAAAGTTGTTTGGTTGGAAAAAAATTTACCGAGAAAATTTGGTAAATATTATAAAGTCTATGTTTGGTTTGAGTTAAAATATTGATGGGAAAATGAGTTGCAATTACCAAAATACCCCTTATTTTTAAATATTTTGAATCTCATCCCGCGGTGTCTATGTTTGATTGTGTGAAGAGTACTCTCATTCAGTGTCATAAATCTATCAGAAATTGTCACATCATTTTAGACTATTCAAACCTCTAGAAATTGCATGTGTTCATCGCACTCTGCTTCCAGTTATGGTGAAGGATGAAGGTAGCTTTATAAGAGGGTAATTTTGATAGTTATGGTGCCAAATGTTTTTCATTTACCTAGCTTTTGTGAAATACCACATTGGAAGTGGAATTTGAGTACCATGCATTTTATTAGATTTTGCAAACAATTATCAATGGCTAGGCAAATCACTTAGCCAGGAAAATTTTTTAATACCATGTACCAAACATGGACAATTCCTAATGCTAATCTCATATGTCTAGGTAAATTTCAAGAAAACTGCTGCTAAACACAACCTGATAGATTTTGCAATTTGGCATCTCTATGTGCTTTCTTGTTGGCTCTTTGTGCTGTTTGATTTGTGCGCTCTCTCTCTCTTTGGAACCACATTTTTGTTATTTGGAGTTGACATTGGCAAAATGTCAAAGGGTAGAAGTGAGATTTGGCTTTGGATTTTGCTGAAAGAATCAAAAGAACACACGCACCCCTTTAATTAATACCGACAACACATAAATGATTAAATAATGCCATTTGCAGCGGTGGGGATAGACACGAGAATATGAGATCATGATAACAAATTCACTCAATCCATCGCTATTATATAGGATTTTCTTTAATTAGTATAATTACGTTGTTGAATGTCGAGTATACTTAGATAAATTAATCTTCAATGATCAAAGTAATTTATTATAAAATTATATGACGGAAAAATTATTGCCTTTTTTTGGGTGTGGAAATTATTGTCTTTTAAAGAACCTAAAGTTCGGGGTGTTCGCGGTCTGGATTGGATCGATTTTGGAAGCAAAACTCATTCGATTCAATCCCTTCGGTTTGATCATGTAATCATCCATTCGGTTTAGATTTTTTTTCAAATCCGATCCGATCTAATCTAATTTTTTTCGGTTTGGATTGGATCGGTTTTCAGTTTTCAAATATCCTAAAATTAGTTTCATGATTATTGTGCAAATAACATCTTTTGTATATATTGGATTTGTAAAAAAAAAATTGAAATACAAAAAATATCAGTAAACAATATTATAGTTGATGAGATTTGACTAAGTTTTTTTTGAGTTTAGTTGATGAGTTAATAGGTCTTGAGTTTAGAAATTTTTAGGCTATGATTGAGGAAATGACCAAGTAGGTGAAGGAGAATTAATATATTGGATCGGTTTTCATCAACTCATCCGAAATCGATCCAATCCAATTAAAATTTACAGTTTTTTTTTCGGTTTGCGGTTTTTCGATTTTCGGTTTATTTGGTTATCGATTTTTCGATTCGGTTTTCGCGGTTTGAATCAGTTTGGATCGGTTGATAAACACCCCTACCTAAAGTTATGTTATTTTAATAATTATAACTATATATGTCATAGAATATATAGTTATAATAATATAAAAAATTAATCTTTTTCGCTCTTCAAATATTTTTCAAAACTTGTCTGCTGACATAAAAAGAAATTTTTTTTCTTTATATTTTAACTATATACTTTCCGAAATATAAGATTATAATCACTAAAAAGACATAATTTTATATTATTTAAAAGAACACACGCTAGTTTACTAAAAAAACACACACACAACCCTTATATAATTGAATGAATTTTGTTTATATAAAACATTTTTTTCATAGATTTTAAGAAATAATTTTTTTTATTCAAATCGGTTTAATCCGTTTTGAATGCAGTTAAATTCATATTGAAACGAAGGATGAAATTTTTTTAATTCTAACAATATTCAACAAGAGTAACTAAATTTGTTATTAATTTTTGATTTTTTATACACAAAACTAATAAACTTTTATAAATTAAATTGAGAAATTCTGATGTATATATAAAAAATTGACATGATTTGATATAAATAGTATGCACTTTTGTACAAACAAAAAAAATGTTATATTTATAAAAAATTTATTTACAAATTAATGTCTTATCGATAAGACATTTTTGAGTGAAATCTTACCGATAAGACATAATATAATTTACAAACTTGTAAAAAAAAATTGTCAATATAACCCTCTCAAAAATTATTGTTGAGTTTCTATTTGATTTTATTTTTTCTTATTCCCCTCCTCTCCTTTGAACAAAAAGAATTGGGATTGCCAAACTTTGCTTTTCGCAATTCGAATTTTTATAATAAATTAGGCTACTATACATTTCTCTTTCTAACTTTGCAGCTAATTTTGATTTTATCTAAAATGTAATACGTGTCAATTCAAAGACAAAAAATCAAACGGAAAGGACTGATCTCATTAACTTATCTGATTTTATGGGGTTGACGAGTAAACTTATTTAAATAATACAAAATTAAAAAATTAATTTATATGAGGTCACCTCGCCCGCGTGACTCCTTTGATGGAATCAATCTCCAAAAGAAAACATGGAACACCAAATTGAATATATGGTTAATAAATTAAAAAGGTTAGAGGTATTATAAAATATTAATGGTTAATTTTAATTTGGAATTTAAAATGTTAATTCAAATTTGAATTCTGAAAATCATTGCATTTATTTTTTCATTTATGATTGTTTAATGGATTTATTATTTTTCTATAATTTGAGATAATTTCAAAACAACTCATTTTTTGGTTAGGGAATTAACGAAAAGGGTATTTTAAAAATTTTATTTATTTCTTGTCATGTGAATTTTATGAAAACTACATCATTTAGAGATAATTTCATCCCAAGTTGACGAAGAAATGATAATCCCTTATTTAATATCATATTAATTATCTTCAATGTTGTAATCCTATGTATGAATATTATCATGTTAATGACATCAGTTTTTTTTCTTGGTAAACACATTCCTTGATTTCCTCCATTGTTTGCTCTCTGATTTTACTCTCTCTTTGTTTGAGTTAATTCAACCCTAACTATCTCGTTGAGGCGAGTTAACACTCTGATTCTACTTGATTTCTCATATATGAATTCCTTTCATCTAATACCTCTTAATTCATATCATGTTATCAACACAAATATCTTTATATGAAAATCTGCAACATGTTAGTGTTTAAAACCATAGCCTTCTACAAAATTAAATTAAATTAAATTATTGCAACAATTTTGAAAAAATCCCTTCGAACAAAAAAAAGAAGATAACCTTTTGTCTACAAGATAACATGTTTTTTTTTCTTTTATAAATTTCAAATTTATTATTCCTCTACCAATTTTATTTTAATCTTAAATATGAAATATCGCTCTGTCCCTGAAGCAAGTATAGGTTCTTGCTCATGAAGTAACAGTATCGTGGCAAACATCGAAAAGCCTAAATTTCACATCTTGGAATGAGTGGTAACAATTATCCGAGTACCTGGACACAGAGATGCACTTTCAAGGGAAAGGTCTCGCATCTGGGTTACCAAAACTAGTACATCGAA